GAAGTGAGGAGTTAGAGACCAGCTTCTCCAACACGGTGAAACTCAAGCTCTACTAAAAATACGAAAAATTAGCCAGGCATGGTGGTGCACACCTGTAATTCCAGCTACTTGGGAGGCTGAGGCAAGAGAATTGTTTGAACCCAGGAGGTGACAGTGAGCCAAGATGGCACCACTACACTCCAGCCTGGGCGACAGAACAAGACTCCATCTCAAAAAAAAAAAAAAAAAAAAAAAAAATGAGGCCCGGCACGGTGGCTCACGCCTGTAATCCCAGCACTTTGGGAGGCCGAGGCAGGTGGATCACGAGGTCAGGAGGTCGAAACCATCCTGATCAACATGGTGAAACCCTGTCTCTACTAAAAGTACAAAAAATTAGCTGGGCGTGGTGGTACATGCCTGTTGTCCAGCTACTCGGGAGGCTGAGGCGGGAGAATTGCTTGAAACTGGAAAACGGAAGTTGCATTGAGTCGGGATCGTGCCACTGCACTCCAGCCTGGCAATACAGCGAGCCTCTGTCTCAAAAAAAAAAAAAAAAAAAAAAAAAAAAAAAAGGCCGGGCGCGGTGGCTCACGCCTGTAATCCCAGCACTTTGGGAGGCCGAGGCGGGTGGATCACAAGGTCAAGAGATCGAGACCATCCTGGTCAACATGGTGAAACCCCGTCTCTACTAAAAATACAAAACATTAGCTGAGCATGGTGGCGTGTGCCTGTAATCCCAGCTACTCAGGAGGCTGAGGCAGGAGAATTGCCTGAACCCGGGAGATGGAGGTTGCGGTGAGCCGAGATCGTGCCATTGCACTCCAGCCTGGGTAACAAGAGCGAAACTCCGTCTCAAAAAAAAAAAAAAAAAAAAAAAAGAGTTCGAGGTTTCAGGGGGCTGTGTTTGTACCACTGCACTCCAGCTCTGGGCAACAGAGCAAAACCATGTCTAAAAAAAAAAAAAAAAAAGAAATATTGATGACCTTCCAAGTGTATTGGATTTATCTGGGGATATGATACTCCTTGAAGAGGAGCATAGAATCTAGTTGGAGAGTTAAAAGGGATACTCATGAAAAGATATGCTGATAATATTTAGAAATGCATATCAAATGACAAATATTAAGAACTTAGAATCAGTTTATAGTTTACTTATTTATTTTTTTGAGACAAGAGTCCTGCTGTCACCCAGGCTGGAGTACACTGGTGTGATCTCGGCTCCCTGCAACCTCTGCCTCCCCGGTTCAAGCAATTCTCCCGCCTCAGCCTCCTGAGTAGCTGGGATTACAGGCATGCACCACCACTTCCAACTAATTTTTTGTATTTTCAGTAGAAATGGGGTTTCACCTCGTTGGCCTGGCCGGTGTCAAACTCATGAGCTCAAGCAATCTGCCTGCCTAGGCCTCCCAAAGTGCTGGGATTACAGGTGTGCGCCTCTGCACCCGGCCCAGTTTATAGTTTAAAGTTACTCAAAATAATCCTCTGAGTCCCAGAGTTTTAGAGCTAAAAGAGAGCACAGGCTGGGGGTGGTGGCTTATGCCTGTAATCAGCACTTTGGGAGGCTGAGGTGGGCAGATCACCTGAGGTAAGGAGTTCAGGACCAGCCTGGCCAGCACAGTGAAAACTTGTCTCTACAGACATACAAAAATTAGCCAGGAATGATGGCGGGTACCTGTAATCCCAGCTACTTGGGAGGCTGAGGCAGGAGAATTGCTTGAACCCAGGAGGCAGAGGTTGCAGTGAGCCAAGATTGCGCTACTGCATTCCAGCCTGGGTGACAGAGTAAGACTTGGTCTCAAAAAAACAACAAAAACCTGACACCTCTAAAAGCTGAGTGAAGCTGGCTGGCCATGGCAGAAGGAGAGCCTGTGGGAACCCACCATAGCTTGGTAGTGCTTTGAACCTCAATTTCATTGTCTTTAAAATAAGTGACTTTCAGAAGTTGATCTGGTTTCCAGTGTTGAGAGAAGCTGTAGCTGAGAGTGAAATGGAATCACGAAGAATGTTCTCACTTAAACTGACAGTGATCAATCCATTTGCTGAGGCCAGGCCTCTCTTACCAGTGAATTAGAAAATTCTAAAAGTGGGCCAGGCACGGTGGCTCAAGCCTGTAATCCCAGCACTTTGGGAGGCTGAGGTGGGTGGATCACGAGGTCAGGAGATCAAGACCATCCTGGTCAACATGGCGAAACCCCGTCTCTACTAAAAATACAAAAAAATTAGCTGGGCATGGTGGCGCGTGCCTGTAATCCCAGCTACTCAGGAGGCTGAGGCAGGAGAATTGCCTGAACCCAGGAGGCGGAGGTTGCGGTGAGCCGAGATCGTGCCATTGCACTCCAGCCTGGGTAACAAGAGCGAAACTCCGTCTCAAAAAAAAAAAAAAAGAAAGAAAATTCTAAAAGTGCCATGGACCTTAGAGCCTTAGAGAGAAGTCATTGTCCTAGACTGAGTACTGAAAAATATTTTTCTGCATAAAAGCTTGAGTAATGTTCTAGTTGTCCAGGGTTAGATATGACCCTATTTACATAAGCATCCCTTTCCCTGCTTTGGCTTGGCTGGGGCCTGCCCTTTGTGCTAACTGCCACCTAGTGGTGTTTCAACGAATGAAACAACTTATTTTACCGGTTGGCATCCCAGGTCATTTGCTATTAGCATGCATCTGTCCATATGTGTGTATATATCTACATAGATTTTTTAATTTTTATTTTTGTTTTGAAACAGGGTCTTGCTCTGTCGCTCAGGCTGGATGGTGCAGTGGTGTGATCTTGGCTCACTGCAGCCTCGACTTCCCACCTCAAGAGCTCCTCCCACCTCAGTCCCCCAAGTAGTTGGGACCACAAACACGTGCCATCACGTGTGGTTTTGTAGAGACGGGGTTTCACTGTGTTGGTCTGGTCAGCCTTGAACTCCTGGGCTCAAATGATCCACCTGCCCCAGCCTCCCAAAGTGCTGGGATTATAGGTGTAAGCCAACACACCCAGCCATTCTTTTTTAAATTTTATTTTTTACTCTTTTTGCTGAAACATCTAGGAACCCAAGACATGTATGCATTTCAATGAACATTTTATTTATTTATAGCAGTTTTAGGCTTACAGATAAGTTACAAAGAGTGCAGAGAGCGCCTGTATTCTCACCTACTTTCCCCGATTGTTATTTCACATTTCCATGGTACATTTGGCTCCTCCAGGAAACTAACACTGGCACATTACTGTTAACTCTGACTTCCTAACTATACCTGGGTCCCACTCTTCCACTCATGCCCTTTATCTGTTCCAAGATCCCTTCTGGGACACATTACATATAGTTCGCCACCTCTATCCTTAGTTTCTAGTCTGTGATCTGCGATGGTTTCCTTTCTTTTTTCTTTTTGAGGTGGAGTCTCGCTCTGTCACCCAGGCTGGAGTGCAGTGGCACAAGCTCGGCTTACTGCAACCTCTACCTCCTGGGCTCAGGCAATTCTCCTGCCTCAGCCTCCCAAGTAGGTTGGATTAAAGGCACACGCCACTATGCCCAGCTAATTTTTGTATTTTTTTTTTTTTTTTTTTTTTTTTTTTGAGACGGAGTTTCGCTCTTGTTACCCAGGCTGGAGTGCAATGGCGCGATCTCGGCTCACCGCAACCTCCGCCTCCTGGGTTCAGGCAATTCTCCTGCCTCAGCCTCCTGAGTAGCTGGGATTATAGGCACGCACCACCATGCCCAGCTAATTTTTTGTATTTTTAGTAGAGACGGGGTTTCACCATGTTGACCAGGTTGGTCTCGATCTCTCGACCTCGTGATCCACCCGCCTCGGCCTCCCAAAGTGCTGGGATTACAGGCTTGAGCCACCGCGCCCGGTCTAATTTTTGTATTTTTCGTAGAGACGGGGTTTCATCATGTTGGCCAGGCTGGTCTCAAACTCCTGACCTCAGGTGATTCACTTACCTTGGCCTCCCAAACTGTTGGGATTACAGGTGTGAGCCACCACGCCCAGTTGAAACATAGCTATTAAGGGGAGTATATTTTATTTTACATGATTCCATAAACAAAAATTATGCAGTTTTTTTAACCAGATACATGTCAGAACACCTTAAGAACGGCTTTCTGCTGGGCGTGGTGGCTCACGCCTGTAATCCTAGCACTTTGGGAGGCCAAGGTGGGTGGATGACCTGAGGTCAGGAGTTGAAGACCAGCCTGGCCATCATGGAGAAACCTCATCTTAAAAAAAAAAAAAAAAAAAAAAAAAAAAGAACAGCTTCCTGGAATCAGACTATGAGCCCTTGCCCCTGGCATTGAATCTTTCTGAGCCTCAAGCTTCTCATCTGTAAAATGGGGAAACAGTAGGTTTCTGATCGGTTTCTGAATAAGGCAGCACAGAATACATTAAGATCAAGAACTCTGGAAGTATCTGAGCCTTGCCACTCACTAGCTGTGAAACCCTGGGCAAGTTACTTAGCTTCTCAGTCTCTTCCATACACTGGGGAAAATAAGACTGAGCTTGTGGGGGGACCAAACATGTTTACTGGTGCTCCGTATCTGGTGTTCAACACAGTGATCATCACTCACCCTGAATAGACCTCCAGCGCAGGGACTGTAGTCTAAACGTAATGACGCAGTCTTAAGCCTTCAGCTCAGTGCCTCACATATGGAGAGGTGCAACACATCTTAACACCTGTTTGTGCACGAACTCACCATGTCTGCTTCCCACTACTGAGGGGGAAGTGAGCGGCCCGTGTCACAGTGCCTTGCATGCTCCAAATGACTACACATATATAAACAAGATCAGAATTACACCTTCTACTCTATTCGGAGTCCATATGCCAGCTAATATTACAGTAGAAGCAGTAATACAATTGTTTTACTGCTTCAGCAGAAGGTCCCCTCAGCAATCTCACTTAGAAAACAATTTCCCACCCCTCAGCACAAAGAGGAAGGAATCCAAGGAACTAAGTCTCTGTAGGTTCAGTGGTTTGCAGATTAATGCTTTGGGAACTCTTTATTCAAATGAAATCTCTCTTGGAACCCTGGTATAAACAAAACAGACAAAATCATTTTATTAGCATTTTTTTATTTTAGAAGTTCACACCTATAATTTCATAACAATTGTGAAAATGATACTGAGAACTAGATATTTTGATAATACATAGCAGAAATCTGTGGTTAAAGATGGTCACTGCAAACTTTAATCAGCATTCAATTCTGCCTTTTGCTTTTGTACAGAATCAATAAAATTCTGATTCATACAGATAATAACTTAGTATCTTAACTTCTCATAAAACGCTTCTCATAAAATGCTCATAATCTTCACCATAAATGTAGGTCAGTACACACCTAAAAATTGTTAATGATCCAACACGGTCACATGTGACATGGCACACTTGCACTTGGTACCAAACAAGCTGACAGTTTAATGAGATCTGATCAGCATATGCACCTGAGCCTTGTCTGTCCCCTCAGAGCACTGTACACAAGTAGTTAAAGAACTTTTATACAATAAGAAATTCACAGGGATGAGGATAGGCACAGTGGCTCACACCTATAATCCCAGCACTTTGGGAGGCCGAGGCAGGTGGATCACTTGAGGTCAGGAGTTCGAGACCAGCCTGGCCAACATGGTGAAACCCCGTGTCTACTGAAAATACAAAAATTAGCTGGGTGTGGCAGCACACACTTGTAGTCCCAGCTACTAGGGAGACTGGGGCAGGAGAATCACTTAAACCCAAGAGGTGGAGGGTGCAGTGAGTCAAGATCACGTCACTGCACTCCAGCCTGGGCGACAGAGCAAGACTTGGTCTCAACGACAACAAACAAGATATTCACAGGGATGAATTTAAGTAGGTAAATAGCAGTGTAGAACTACATCCTTCCTAGTCAATGACACCTTTAGATCTTAAATAGGCACAGAAATAACAAAGGGCGTATACCGAGTAACTTGGCAGTACAAGGTAAGGAATTTATGTGTCTTGTACAAGAGTATACAGACTGTTCTACTTTCATGCTCTGCTCACTGCCATATCCCTTCGTGATTCCCTGAGATTCAGGTGAAATGACGGTCTAATATTGCCTGGAGAAGGGCCTCCTCCTCCTCAACTGCTTCATAATCCTTTATTAGTACCAGTAACTGCAATAAACTAGGGGCTGGGCCATCCTCTGGCAGATTAAGCTCTCTGCGAACTGTTCTGTGGACTGCACCAGCAATGACTTGGTCTAGGCGGGCCTGATTCACAGCATCTCTCTCAATTGCTCCTTTTTGTACCAGCTTCTGTAACAAAGGCTCCAGCCTTAGTACATAATCCGACAACTTTTCTTCCTCCTTCTGGTAAGTGGTTAGAAATTTGTCATGCAACTCTCTAGGACTATCTGTAACCCCAAATACCTGCTCAAGAGCCTGCAGGCATTCATCGACAGTAATTAAAGGATTGTTTATCTTGAGGACACGAATAACATCAAGTGCTGGGCCTCGAAGGCTCTCTAGCACTCGCCTTCTCTTCTCTTCATCTGACACCTCCCACACCTTTAACATCTGAGTAGTATGAAACAGCCAGGGTTCAAATTCTTCTTCTTCCGGTTCTGGAGAATCACTGCCTGAGAACACGCTCAGCTTTTTATAGTAGAAGTACTGCAGGGCAGGCTCAAGAGCCTCATTTAATGCCTGTGCCAACATAGGGGCCCACATTTCTGGGATCATGCCCTGCCCTAGGTCTAAGGAGCCATTTTCGTATCTAAGAGCTCTGGTCAACTCACCCATTGTCATGCCCTCTCCCTCTAAAAATTCATTTAATCTGCTTAGAAAATCATTATCTGGGTCGGGGGTCTTAAAGATCACTCTCCAGATACCCCCCTTTCCCGGTATCTCCTTAGGGACCAGTGCACGACTAGTCTCCGCAGCAAGCCCTACTAGGGCTACTTTGCAGTTCTCATCCCTCCTGAACATCCTTCCAAGCAGCCTGTACTCCCCTAGGGGAGCTAAACCAGCCTGCAGAGCCTCCTCGATTTCTGCCACACTGCAGCTCTCGGGGATGCCGGCAATCAACAGCGCTTTCCGAGGGCTCATGTCCATCCCCCTGCACCAGTCTTCTAACAGCCTCAAAGTCATGGTGACCGAAATAACAGACTTAAGTTCTAAATAAATATTCCAGACCACAGGCAGCCACCGCAATTCAAAGTATTCCTCCGCGGTACCCCAGAGAAATCTCGTCAACGTGGCGAGGTCCAGCAGCCTGCAAGACAGAGGAGACAGGTTAGTCAAAGGTGCCAACGTCCAGGGCACACGTGCAGGCCTTAAGCCCGGAGCATCCTGCACCCCGCGGCGACGCCATGTCTGCCGCATTGCGGCGCGCGCCCCTCCCCCTCCCAGCCCAACTGCGTAGCGGTTGTCGTACCTACAGGGCCGCACCGGGCCCGCTTCCCCTCACCGTGATCTAGTGCTCCGTGCTCGCGTCCGTGCGCCGGTGGGCAAAGTGCCAGGCCAGGCCCAGAGAAGGCGCGGGAGGGCGGGCTCCCCTAGGCTCGGACAGACAATCGGGGGCCAAAGCGACCGATGCTGGTCCTCCAAGTCCCTGCGATGCTCTCCGCAGCAAGGAGTGATGGGGCGATGATAGTCACGAGCGGGCACCAGAGGGCAAGGCTGAGGATCGCTGAGTCGCCAGGCCCAGACAACCGCCAACCTGAAGGGACGCGCTGGCACCTGCAACGCCAGAGCCGGGGATCCAGCCCCTATTCCGGCCGCTTTGTTCTCACTCAGAGAAGCTGCGCGGTGGGCAGCGGCACTCTGACGTCATGAGTGGGGCGGGCCTCTGGGGGCGGGGCGCGTACGCTTCCGGCCCGAGCCGGAAGTCCCGACTGCGGCGGTATCCGGGACGGCGGGCGGGCTGGCCACCCGGGACAGGAAGGTGAGATCCGGGATCTCAGCTTTGCAGGCAGGCTCTGCCGGCGGCCGCTGACTGGCGCTGGACTCGCGGCGCTGCAGGAAGGCGAGGCCGAGGCCTGGCGCTGCCTGCACAGCCCTAGTCGCTGCGTGCCGGTGCTGCAGCTCGGTAGGGGGCGGGGCCGGCCGCCGGGAGGCCCAGGTGACTGGGGCGCCTCCCGGCCCGGTCGGGTTCCCAGAGTGGGTCCCCGGCGGCGGCGACGGGGACCGGGCAGCGCGTGACCCGCCGCAGTCACGCTGTTCTTAATCACTAGTAGCTGGTGCTTCAGGCTGGCGGCGCTCACCTCTCTCTGAGCCGGGTGACCCAGGGGATTTATTTTTATGGTGGCTTTCTCTGAAATGCCAAAGCCACCCGATTATTCAGAGCTGAATGACTCTTTAACGCTTGCCGTGGGAACAGGAAGATTTTCGGGACCATTGTAAGTGCTTAGGAGTTATTGTCTTAACTCGGGGTCTTGACTTGTAGCACCCGTGTTCACGTCTGAAGCAGTACTGTTAAGCCAGAAAGTATTTCATCTGTCAAAGTGAAATGCGCTGTGGGAAACTAGCTTAATTCCAGTTTCTGGAGGGCGGGTATTCTGAACCTGTTTAAGTAGGATGCAGTGGTTTATTCTGTGGGATTCCCATTAAAAAGCAGAACTCGGCTCATGCCTTTAATCTCAGCACTTTGGGAGTCCGAGGCGGGAGAATCACCTGAGGTCAAGAGTTTCAGACCAGCCTGGCCAACGTGTTGAAACCCCGTCTTTACTAAAATTACAAAAATTAGCTGGGCGTGGGGGCGGGCACCTGTAATACCAGCTACTCGGCAGGATGAGGTAGGAGAATTGCTTGAACCCGGGAGATGGAGGTTGCAGTGAGCCGAGATCGTGCCACCGTACTCTAGCCTGGGCAACAGAGCGAGACTCTCAAAAAAAAAAAAAAAAAAAAGAATATATACTGAAATATTTTTTTCCACTTGCTTGTAACTATTACATAAAACAACCTGCAAGTTTTACATTTCTTAATAGGTGTTACATTTAATTATTTTAAATCTTAAGTGTGTTAGTGGAATATTTTAGAATTCTTGGAGATAAAGCAAGCACATTTGGAATAGTTGCCGTGACAGCATTACTAGACCCTAATTGTATTTTTTTTTTTTTTAATTTGAAGGCACAGAGCATGGAGAATGATGAACTTCCGTCAGCGGATGGGATGGATTGGAGTGGGATTGTATCTGTTAGCCAGTGCAGCAGCATTTTACTATGTTTTTGAAATTAATGAGACTTACAACAGGCTGGCATTGGAACACATTCAACAGCACCCTGAGGAGCCCCTTGAAGGAACCACATGGACACACTCCTTGAAAGCTCGATTACTCTCCTTGCCTTTTTGGCTGTGGACAATTATTTTTCTGGTACCTTACTTACAGATGTTTTTGTTCCTTTACTCTTGTACAAGAGCTGATCCCAAAACAGTGGGCTACTGTATCATCCCTATCTGTTTGGCAGTTATTTGCAATCGCCACCAGGCATTTGTCAAGGCATCTAATCAGATCAGCAGACTACAACTGATTGACACATAAAATCAGTCACCGTTTTTTCCCTATGATTACAAAACTGCCAGTACTATATGGAGTCTGATCACAAGACTGCAGTTTCTTCACAGATCTCAGGAAGTTGTGGTGGGGCAGAGGCTTTTTAAAAACATGTGATTAGGGGGCTATCTTTATCTGAATAATGAATTTTTAGGTAAAGCCTGAGATAGAGTACTACAAAATCATGTTGATGACTTCAGACTTTGGAAGTTAAATCTTACCTGTTATTTGCATTCTTTAGAAACTTGACTAAGTACCTGAATTCATATTTCTATTTTACTGTTTAACATAGTGATGATTCAGAAATTTTTCCTTTGGGGAAAAAAATGACTATGAACATTTCCATTGTGTTATGTGTAAAAAGGTCCAGATATGATCATAAAATTTAAATTTTATACAATTACTTGGCTTGCTTTAAAATTCTTCACACTAAAACACCAATTCATTCTGTTGTAGCTAAGCCAACTGTTTATACTTGGTATCAGCTTGAGGAATTGCTTAAAGTTACTGAGGTGTTGGCTGTCTTGATAAGCAGAATTCATTCTTCCTCTTGGTAATAGCTAGCTAAATTATTATTAATGCTACAGGTTTTATTTTTTATATATTTTTTATTTTAGTGGAGAATGAGGTCTCGCTGTATTGCCCAGGCTGATCTCAAACTCCTGGGCTCAAGCTTTCCTCCCTGCTCTGGCTCCCTAAGCGTTGGGATTTCAGGTGTAAGCTCTCATACTCAGCTATTTTTAATTAAAAAAATTTTTTTTTCCATGACTTGTGACAGTCTCAGGAGGCCCTGAGAACATGTGCCCCAATGCTACTGATTTAGAAAACTATTTGGGGAGGCTGGGCACGGTGGCTCACCCCTGTAATCCCAGCACTTTGGGAGGCTGCAGTGGGTGGATCACCTGAGGTCAGGAGTTCGAGACCAGCCTGACCAACATGGAAGAGACCCGTCTCTACTAAAAATACAGAATTTGCCAGGCTCATTGCAGTCTTCTGTAATACCAGCTACTCGGGAGGCTGAGGCAGGAGGATCACTTGAATCTGGGAGGCGGAGGTTGTGGTGAGTTGAGATCACGCCTTTGCACTCCAGCCTGGGCAACAAGAACAAAACTCCATCTCAAAAAAAAAATATTTGGGAAGAGACTGTTAAATGTTGAAACGCTTAAAATAACTTAGAAGATGGAAACAATGTGTTCAATGAGAATATAGCTGTTTGTTTGTTTGTTTATTTATTTAGAGATGGAGCCTTGCTCTCGCCCAAGATGGAGTGCAGTGGCTCACTGCAACTTCCACATCCCGATTCAAGTGATTCTCTTGCCTCAGCCTCCCAAGTAGCTGGGATTACAAGCAACTGCCACCATGCCTGGCTAATTTTTGTATTTTTAGCAGAGATGGGTTTACACCGTGTTGGCCAGGCTGTTCTCAAACTCCGCACCTAAGGTGATCCGCTTGCATCAGCCTCCCAAAGTGCTGTGATCATAGGTGTGAGCCATCATGCCCAGCGGTGTTCATTTAATTTTATTTATTTATTTATTTTGAGACAGAGCCTTGCTCTGTCGCCCAGGCTGGAGTGTAGTGGCGTAATCTTGCCTCACTGCAACGTCCGCCTCCCAGGTTCATGTTACTCTTCTGCCTCAGCCTCCTAGGTAGTTGGGATTACAGGTACCTACCACCATGCCCGGCTAATTTTTGTATTTTTTAGTAGCTGTTTTTGAACTCCTGACTTCAAGTGATCCACCTCGGCCTCCCAAAGTACTAGGATAACAGGCATGAGCCACCACGCCCAGACTATAGCAGGTAATTTCATCCAGTCCTTATCCGATGCATGAGATCCCTCTAAATATACTATCAAGTCAATCTTTCTGATTTTCTTTTCTGGCCCAAAGTCAGGTCTTCAGGCAGGAGATTAATTACATGAAGATGTGATCCTTGTACCTTCTCCTTTGCGTTTGTACTGCCTCACATCTGGTACTAATACAAATAACTTAATACATGGACACAGTAGAATTGATTCTTTCTGTGTAAGATCAATATATGTGTGTATATATGTATATATATATGTATCTGTGTGTATATGTACATGTGTATATATATATTTTTTGAGACAGTCTCGCTCTGTTGCCAGGCTGGAGTACAGTGGTGCAATTTTGGCTCACTGCAACCTCTGCCTCCCGGGTTCAAGCGATTCTTCTGCCTCAGCCTCCCGAGTAGCTGGGACTACAGGCGTGCACCACCATGGCAGCTAATGTTTGTGTTTTTAGTAGAGACAGGTTTCACCATGTTGGCCAGGATGGTCTCAATCTCTTGACCTTGTGATCTGCACACCTCAGCCTCCTAAAGTGCTGGGATTACAGGTAAAAGCCACTGCACCCAGCCCAAGATATATTTTTATATAGTTATGTCATTAATACTGGAAAACATTTTATGCTTTTAATAATCTTAACACTTTCGTGCTTATTCTGTTGGGCCCTATTCTAAGAGCATTATGGAAATGAACTCATTTAATCCTCCCAATAACCCTAGGAGATGTCTATTATTATCCAAATTTCACAGATAAGGAAACAGGCAAAGAAGTCAAGTCACTTGCCAAAGGTCACAGCGAGTAGCAGAGCCAGGGTTATAACCAGGCCTTCTCATGCCTTCATTACTAACCACAGAGGCACAGTGCTTTTCACAAATGACAAATGTTTTAGCACTGGGTACTGTTTGCCTAGTTATGCCAAAGAATAGAAATGGCAATATTATTGACAAGTTTTTCTTCAACTGTCTACTAGAAATCTGAAAGTTTCCTAGCAACCTCATCTTTTTCTATTCCATCTGACTGAACCAGAAAGGAAGGCTGAGTATTCCATTATAAGCTTTTACTTAAAAAATAAAGCAGGTACCTTTGTGATGCAAAGTAGCAGATCAGATCCTTCAGATAAATTGGTCCCATTTATCTCATTGCCTCCAAAGGTCTAGTTACTGAAATGATACATCTTTTGATACAATACATGGAATTCTCAAAGTAAGCAGCAGTTTGAAATACCTGTTTCTGTGAGGGTCAGATGACATGACAAAATCACTTGCATCTTTTGAGTACTTTACATTTATTCTTCACAACAGTCCTGTGAGGCAGGTATTATATTGCTACTAGCAGTATTTACAGAAGAAGGAACCTGAAACACATAGGAATAACTTGTCCACAGTCACACAGCCAGGAAGTGGAAGAGCCAAGGTTTGAACCCAGGATGTCAGCTTCTGATCTCCAGCTTATCATCCTATACTGCTTCTCAAAAAAGTAATTTGAGGAAAATCATTGAGAATTTCCAGTTTTATTAGTCTTGAGGCAGTGATTTAAGAAAATTATTTCAGGGTTTTTGTTTGTTTGTTTGTTTTATAAATGCTTTA